CCACTACTATTGGTAGTACTACTAGTACTACTGCTAGCTAACTTTATCTTACATGCTTACATGAATAACTTTACAATTATGGCACAAGAACTTAACACCAGATTGACTTCGAGGGACAATGGTCTCTACATTAACTGGCAGGTAGTGTGTATGGGCTTACTAATTCATTCTTTTTAAAAATGTAATAATGTTGACTGCTTTAAATATGAAACTGTACTGTAGAAGGTAGGGAATCCCTTTAGGCTTTGCATGACTGTGGCACCTTGGAGCAATAGTAAATTTGCTGAATATATGCTAATACACTACAAAAACAAGAGAAGCTGGTTAACCTGCAGTGGGACTCTTGTTCCCTGTGAGGGTACCCTTTTACAAGTACACAAAAGCCAAGAGATGAAATAACTGTAAAGAACAAAATGCTAAATCATATAAGTAAAAATGTCAATGCAAATGGGAGTCACAATCTATGCAAAAATGCTCATAATCCCCAATTGAATTAACAAGTTCACAAAGTTCCAAATATCTAAAGTGTCACTCTTTGGATAATACAGAAAGAATGGAACACAAATAGCAGAACTGTGAAATTATTTAAGAACTCTGTGTATGCAGGAGTGTAATCTATGCCCAGCTTTAGGGTATTTTACCCATAGATAGCATAAAAATAAACATAGCATGTTACTTTAAAGTAATGAGAAGTCATCCACATTTAGCTGAAGTGTTATAAATAATTTGATTTTCTATAATCAGCTGGATTGAAGGGACCATAGCTCTGTGGTAGAACACCTGCTTTGCATGCAAAGTCTCAGGCTCAATTTCTGGTATGTCCATGTAGGACTGAAAAAATCCTTGCCTTGAAACCTTTGGAACTGCTGAAGTTCAGTGTCAACAATACCGGGCAATTCACTATAAGGCTACTTCCTTTGTTCCTAATGAAAAGCATTGCTTGCAAAATGCCTGAAAATCCTTTCTCAAAATACAGATTAAACAGAAGAAAATAAATACAATGACTGAAAGAGCACTAGTTTCAAATTTTGAAACAAAAACTGTCTTAACAGCACTATCTATGGCTGACCATCAAAGGCTGTTACATTGTAAGCTTGCATGCTATTCCATTTTGGAGTTCCTGGGACTATTGCTGCCACTGGGGCCCATGCTGATTATGTCAGTTACAACAACTGCAAAGCACTGTCACTTGTGTCCAATCTTACTCTGAGGATCACCTGTAATATTGCACCAGTGCAAGGAAGGGCCCTAGACCTGTCCACAGAGAAGAGATTGCACTTGCAATTACCATTCCCATGTTTCACTTCTGCCATATGCTCTTATTCGTCCACATCTACTCAAATGAACTGTCCTTAACTATTATATATCAGTGCAAGACTTTACAAATTTTATTTCACCAGTGCAACACATTATATATACGCTACTGTATACCACTCAGAAAACCCTATGAGCTATGGGTATCTAAATAATAATTAATACTGTGCTGCTACAACAGCAGATACTATGACTTCATCCACATTTTGCTCAGCAGAATTTGTCCATACTTGAAAACAAAATGGCATTGCAACTTCCCTTCTCTTCCCCACATCTAGAAGCACAATATACATAAATTATTTCCTACTACTTCTACTGCACTGATTGACTGTTTTTCATATGTATAACAGATATGGAGCTATTGCCAAGGCTAACTTTGCAGGCAAAGCAAGCTCTGTGAAGTCAGTTGAATATATAAGATACAGGCTGGTGGGCAGAGTATAGGAGTAGACTGGCCTCAAGCAACAAGCTGTTCAGGCTGAGGAGCCAGGCCCACATGTGAAATGTTCCAGAGCCAGGAAGAACTTTGGCTTAGTAGTTGTAGTGCTGCTTTCTAGTCATATGCTCCCCTCTCCAGCAAGGTGTCATTGCAGCACATTCAGTAATCTGAGGCTTGTTTCCCAAGTCCCCAAGTTTGACATCCTGCCACTTCACATACAGCACAAATTGCTAACTCAAGCAGGCAAATCCCAGCCTTTGTTTTAAATACTCTACAAACTGTTTTACAGGACTTCTCGATTTACTGAAGTGGACTAATTAACCTGTTAATAAATCTACTGCCTTATAGTCTGACTGAACCTAGTCATTCAGAGGTGTGATGCTGAACATACTACCTGATATATTAAGCCAAATAAACATACTTAAAATCAGCCACTGAACTCAGCCTTTTATTTTTTTTTATTTCACTGTCTTCAGTATACCTAACTTTCTCTAGATTGGACCCTGTGACTTCAAGTGTACACACATTTATGCCCATTTAACTAAAACAGGATGTAAAAGTTGTCAGTCTAGAGTCAACACTGTGATTTAATAAAGGTATTGCTATAAGTATCTCCTAAATATATAGAAAAATATATTTAAGATTTTGATCTAAAAACATAAAAAGTCTGATATGCACACATAACTATTGTATTATTATACTGTATTTTATATGCATGCGTATGTAATATTTTATTGCTATTTCTGGATACATATGTATTACATTTGCAGTTACAAGGCAAATTTAGTATTTTTCTCAACTACCTATTTCTATGTTTTCAACTGGGCATTTTAACATCAGTTGTAGACCTCAGTAGTACTTTAATATTACTAAGAACCAAACTGATCCTAAATTTACTCTACAGCAGAGATAGGAAATGTGTAGGCTTTGAGATGTTGTTGGACTTCAAATCCCATCAGGCTTAGCCATCACAATCAATAATGAAGGATGATGAGGGCTGCAGTCCAATAACATCTAGAAGGTCGCACAATGTCCATCCGTGCTCCACAACAATGGATATAGTTTTTTAAAAATTCCTTATTTATAAAATCTTATAACTACACATATTATTTATGGTACATAATAATTGGAACTATATGCATACCTACAACATTGTGATCTAATTCAGCCAGTACACAGTATTTATTATAACACAATTTCCAGTGTTCAACATTCAGTGAAATCTCTGCACTTCACTACAGCAAAGAAGAAAAACAATACCACAACACACTAGATGCATTCAAGAAGCAACTGATCAGGATGGTGTAACTGGCATCCTGCAGTAGTAGAGGATAGGACTCAATAGCCTTCCTGGCCCTTTCTGACCTGGCTGTATTGTGAATCTGTGAAAATGTCCCCACTATACCAAATCTTAAGCACAGGATTTTAGCATAATTTTAGTGGAAGCCTCACACTGGTAGATTCTTTAAACATTCATTTAGGCTGCAATCCTATACTCACTTACCTGAAAGTCCCATTGAACTCAATGAGACCTGCTTCTGAGTAGATATGTGTAGGATACCACTGTAAGAATTTGACAGTATTATATTCCTGTTTATCATTACACTTAGCATTTACATAGCACTTAAGAATATTAAAAGCATTTCACATATCATCTTGTAATTCATCCAGTGATCTTGTTAAGGTAGACTGGTGTTATTTATACCCAAACTACAATTAGTGGGGTGAGGAAATAGTTAGTCTAAGGCTACCTACTGATTTCATGACAGAGGAAAGAAAGATTCCTGATGCATAACTTGGTCCCTTATAAGCTACATTGTACCGTAGTGTACAAATATCAAGAAGAGGCAGGGGAACATGTTCAGATTAAACTTCTGCCCCTAATATTATTCTCACAGAATTAACATGGGCAACCTCCTGGGTCACTTCAGGAGTCCCCTCAGAACTATGAATTTCACCTATTTTTGTAGCCTTATATTTCTGACACAACTGACCTCTATATATGAAGTAATTAAGCTTTTAAAAAAGTGAATGTTTCTGGGCCCAAACTGCAAGTTTTGCTCCTGTAAACTCTGTGCCTTAATAACTCAGTTCTGGAGAACTAAATTTGCTCAGAAAAGTGAAGCCTGGGGCAAAGGAGAAAAGGCTGATGACTTCTCCTTCTCCTAACTTCTAAGGAGGCACACAGTCTTTTACTCTGTGATTGGAATGTCAACACACAGATGCTGCAATAGCGTCAGCATGAGGCCATCACCCATTACATGCCTTCTTGTAAGATATCCCTAAAGATCAAGGTTATTTGGAGCAATTATCAAGCCACCATGTAATCTTCAAAAGGATCCAGTAATTTCACTCTTGAATAAGTAATGCAGGGTTATAACTAGTCACTAATTCTGATGAACGCTGAATATAAAGCATAAGCCATGATACTCTTCTCCTGCCACTGTAACATTAAGTCTCTCATAAGGCATGAGATAGTTCAGTTCTGCACAAGTGGAACCTAAAACAGGGCAGCACAATCATTATCATTCACTAATTGTTCAACTAAATTTTACAAGTGATGGCTTAATTTTGAAAACAGTATGGTTCAAAATTCCTCTAAAACATCTGCAGTATTAACAATAATTATGAAAATGCTGACAATTTAATTACTATTGAATTGACCTACAATAAGTATTTAGAAAAAACTAAGGAAAGGATAATTTTCAGAGAGAGCAAACACAGTACTGAATGTCTTCAATGCTAAAGTTGGGGACTTTGTCCTCAACTTCTTAAAAGTGCCTTTCCTATCTACTACTTTAAAAAAATATGTTCTTACCACTTCAACTAGCCAAGTTTTGACAGTATTCATATACTTTTACAACTCTGTTGTACTTTTCATAACACTATAGCTCCCGTTATAAAATATTAATAACAATTATTTGGCTTTCTCCTACCCTCAAAGTGATAAACATTTTTAAACAAAAGTTGGGAGTCAAGCTCTTCATACTTTTCAACATTCTGATTTCTCTGTTAGTAAACTAAATGTATTAGCAGGGCAACCTGACCCCCACCGTTCATTCTGACACATCAGCTGATAAGGAGACATGATTTGTGGGAGGACTAAAACCTGAAGAAACTTCATCCATCTCAAAAAAGAGCAAAGCACCCAGGATCTTAGTAACAACAATGGCACTCTTTTCCTCTGAGTGTGTGTGTGTGTGTGTGTGTGTGTGTGTGTGCGCGCGCGCACTGTTTACATACTTACCCAGGAAGGCAAATGGAAATTACAGGCAGAGGAAAATGAAGCTGTCTCCAAGTCTTTGTCATGTGACAGTGACCTATAAAGTATCAAATAGAGGGACATCATGAGCACACCATGATTTTACAGTACTACAACTGGCCCACAACTGCATCAAGCCTAGAGGACTCCAAAACTTGCAACTTGATTCTCACTTTTCTTGCTAGCTACCTAACAATAAGTTCTTATTAAAATATGAGCCTGCTTGTGCCTTGAGAAAACAAAACTGTCAAGTTGAAAAAGAAAACAGAAATAAGCAGCATGTATATAAAAGGCACTGGACATGAGCAAGTGGAATAAATCATATGAGGGTGTATCAGCAGGGTGGGTTTCTCTCTCTGTCTCTTCCACACACAACACACCCAAGATGGCAAGTAAAGTTGAACTCAAATTGAAAATGGGAATCAAAACAGGAAGGAAGCCCCTCGGTGTGCACATTTAATCAGTCGATCAGTTGTGTGAATAAATTTAAGCAGCATCATCCTCCTCCTCCAAATAAAACGTGAGGCTCAGCCTGCAGATAAGAGATCTACAAGCGAGGCTGCAACGTTGTAGCATAGTTTCAGGTAATCCCCACTTGCCGATTCTTCCTGATAAGATCCCCTCCCCCGCTTCTCGCCGTCGCAATCCAAAGAGAAAACATAGGATAGACCCGACTCCTTCCGACAGAGAAGGAAACGTACATTCGCTTGCAAGCCACCCCCACCAGGCCAGCCACCCACCCAGCCCACGATGCAAAGTGTAGGCAGGGCCACCGGGGTCTGGGGGTGAAAGCGAAGGTTATTAAACATGGAGTGCAGCTAGGAAGATAAGCTCAGACAGCGCTTTTCCTTTTTCCTTCTGGTCAACATCAAGTTTGCATCTTAGTTACAAAATGTCGCTCTTAAGGGCTGACAAGACACAGGGGGAGAGAGAGAGAGAGAGAGAGAGAGAGAGAGAGAGAGA